TTGATTTGATTTGATTCGAAAAAATCAAATCAAATTCAAATTGCTTCAATATTTGATTTGATTTGATTTTGAGGAATTCTAGTTATAAGAATCCCGAAACATCCAATCAAACTTTTAATATATGTTTTTTTTAATAATTGTTTTATTTTAAATCTATTTATGAAAAAATACATAGAGCTTTGTATCCTATATTTTCTCAGTATGGAGAATATAATACTAAGTCCAAATTATTTATAGACAAGTATTATTATTCAAAAACATAATAGAATTAAAACTATTTTAATTTTTATTATATTCTTCGTTAAATGAACTAATAATAAACCTTTTTTTTTTAAAAAAAAAATTATATAGCCAACAATTTCTCGAACATTAAGAGAAACCTTATTTACACAAGGTCAAACAAGATCTTTGTCAGAATCAGACTTTGAACTTTATAAGAAGAAATCATCTTACCATTGTGAGAGGAATGAAACTGTACTTATTTCTAATCACTCTGAAATCGATTGGGTTATTAATTTGGAAACATTAAATAGTTTGAAGGACTTTAGCTCACGTATTATAAATTTGGAAGACAAAATCAAAGATAAAATTTGGAATTTCAAGAAAAAAAAAAAAATTCAAGAATAATTAAGTCAATTAACAACGCAAGTTATTAATTATATTGAAGATATGATGCCGCTCCCATTTTTAAGATCAATGTTGATCATACCGAAAGATCAATTAGATTTGTATAAACTACATAAGTTAGTTTTACAACAATATCATCAATATATATATAAAACCTGCGAGGTGGTGGAGGATATTACAAAAAAATTGTTAATATGTGAAAAAAATTATTATTTTTTAAAGAATAATGAAAGAAAAAGTAGGAATTTATTTCCTTTTTTTAAGAAAAAGTTAAAGGAAATTTTGTTGAATGCGGCTGGTAAATTTGGATACTTAGAAAAAAAAATTTAAATGAAAGAGAGGTAAATCGAAAAAAAATTCGATATATGTATAATAAGTTATATAAGGAGTTCAGTATGTTCAAGCGGAACAATCCAAATTTTAACGAAAATTTGGATATTAAAGAATATCCCCATTGCGAATTTAAATATAACGGAGTACTTTGAAATTTACGTTGTGTAGGTTTTCATAATCCTATGAGGCCTACGGAGTTCTACGTAATGTAATACTTCAAAAGTTTATGTAATGTAATACTTCGAAGGTCTATGTAATATAATACTATGTAATGTAATACTTCGAAGGTTTATATAATGGAATATTTCAAAGGGTTATAAATCATAATTTTACACAATACTCAAATAACA